CGGAAGGGGCACGGATGATGAATGGATAGGGTGGAGATCAATCAGAAGCTGAAGCGGCCTTTACCTTCCCCACACACACCCCGAGCCTGCCCTGCCCCATCAGGAAGGGCCTCTTACCCAGCTCTGATGGGATCACCAGCTTCCTCTTTTCCCCCTCACACATCCTGCAAGATAACACGTGCTCAGCACATGCAGCGCTCAGCTCCCTGCCCCACGGCCCAGGCTTGGGCTTGCCTGCCATGGCTCACCGCCTGGACCACACCACACACACCCCATCCCACTCCCACACCCTAACTCACCCCAGCAGCCCCTGGTCCCAGCCCTTGATGACCTGGCCTGTTCCGAGGGAGAAGACAAAGGGCTGGTTTTGAGGCAGGCTGCTGTCAAACTCCGTCCCATCTTCCAGCTTCCCCTATGGGACCATGTAAAGGCCAGTGAGGAGAGGAACCCACTCTTGTCAGTTACTCTCCCCATCAAGTGGCCCCCCACATTATCAGTGGCCGCAGTCCTTGGAGGGGATAGAGCCTTGGGCAACTCACAGTCCACTGTCACTGCCTGCTAGTGCCCACCTGGGGAGTAGACAGTGAAGGGCAAGGTAAAACCATGGAAGCTGGCTTAGAAGGGAGAGGGGACTTGCCCGAGGTCACCCACCTGGAGGAGTAAAGAGATTCAATTCCTTTCTGCTGCCCAGAAGCCACACCCACCCCAGAGCTCCGCCCCTCTCACCCACCGTGTAGTGCATGTGTAGGACATCCCCCTTGCGGGACTTGATGGGACAGTGGTCCACTCGCTTCTTGACCCCGATCTGCAGCTTCCGTTTGCCCTCGGCCCCCGTGGCCGTGGCCAGGGCACTCAGGCAGATGGACAGTACTGTCAGGACCCAGCTCAGCCTCATGTCTCTGTGGGAACAGAACCCCGACCGGCCGACCGGGAGGAGGGCAGGAGAGAGACTATGGAACTAGGGCAGATACCGAGGGAATTCCACCCCCACCGTACCTTGCTTGCCCCTGTCCCGGGTCACCGCCCTCACCCCCGGACTCCGCGGCCACACTTACCAGTCCAGTGAGAAGGGGGCTTGGCCGAGGACCCCAGCAGCGGGGGGAGGGGGTCAGGGGAGGCCACAGCAGCCAGGGACCCGCCCCCTCGCTCACCCACAGACTTTCCCTCCCTCCCGGTCCCCATCTCCGCTCTTCAGTTCCCACCGGTCCCTTTACGCAAAGTCCAGACCCTCTCTGGCTGAACAGCAGTTGCACCAACTACGCGGCCCCACTCCCGCCACACCCAGCTGCCCCCGGCCCAGCACACCCACACCTCCGCAGCCGCTGCCGGCGGTCGGCCCCGAGGCACCCACACATCTCCGCTAGGTGGCTCCGAGGAACCCCGGTCCTCCGGAGGTACCCCCCATCCCGGGCCTGTGCTTCCGCCCGAGGCACCGCCCCAGCTCTGAGCCCTCGGGGGTCTCCGGGGCACCCAGATTGGCCCTGTTTCGTCAGGTCGCCGAGCCCGCTCCACCCACACCACCTCTCCAGGGGGAGTTCTCGGCCTACCACGTCCCCAGGCCCTGCCACCCCGGAGACCGCCCCCGCGTGGACGCCCTGGGCCATTACTCGGGCCTGGACCTTCGTTCGGTTCCTTGGCCCCGCCCTTTACAGGGTGTAGTTCCGCCCCCGGCCCTGCAGACCCGCCCTCGCCAGTACTAGACCCCTTTTCTTGAACCGCAGTCACGCCACTCACCGCCTGAAGCTCCGCCCCCAGCGCCTGGGCTCCGTCCCCCTCTGCCTCCAACCCCCGGGCTCCGCCTTCAACCTGTTCCAACTCCTCCTCCAAAAGCCAGGCTCCGCCCCCCGTCCGTCTTCGCTCCGCCCCCAGGCGCCGAGCTCCGCCTGCCACTGGCACCAGCTCGGAAGTCCCACCAGTCTCTGTTCCACGTCCCGCCCCGAGTCCCAGGGCTCCGCCCCGTGCGGCGTGAGAACCCTCCCCCTGCGGCATCTCCAGACAGCTCCGACCCCAACCCCCAGTTTCCTCGTCGCCTATCCTTCGTTGGCACTCGGAGCCCCGGCCCGCTTCTGCCCGGCCTGATCCAGCCTGCCCTCTTGCACCCCGGCTCCCCCCAGCCCGGGCTGTGGCCCCCGCTCACCTCCTCGCCGCGCCCCCGGAGTCAACCCCGGTCGTGCTGCCGCCTTTGCGCAGGCGCGTCCTGGTCGCTACCAGACCGGGCCACGCCGCCCTCCCTCATTGGGCAGTGCGAAACCCGCTGCCACACGCCCGCCAGCTCGGCTCCTCCCCTAGCCCAGCTTCCCGCGCCACCACGTGACCTCTACGTCACTTCCGGCGGGCGGGCGGTTAGGTGAAAGTGACTTCCCAAAGGGTGAAGGCACTTCCGGCCGAAGTGACTTTAAGGTCAGGTGGGCCTGGGCCCCCGGAGGGGGGTCTTGAGACGCCATTTTATGTCGCCCCCAGCCTCTCCCCCTGCACTCCTGCTTGTTCTTGTCCTATGACCACATTTCTGAGTTAGATGCAGTGAAGAGAACCTTGAATTGGAATAACAGTCGGCTTTGAGCTCTGGGTCTGCTGCTCATCAACTGGCTGTGTGACCTTGAGTGTGTGTTCTTATGCCCGGTAGAATTTGGCATTCAACATGGGCGTGTAGCAAGGGCTGGGTAACAGCCATCCCATGGGGCTGCTGTGGGACCAAGGTGGCACAGTGAAGGCCCTGACCTACAGGGGATGGGGAGTGCGTGTTCCTCCTCTGTCTCCGGCACCTAGCTTCCAGTTATCACTGGCACCCAAGCCTAGTAAACAGCTGCCAACCATAACAAAGCTGCACTTGAGGAGTAGCTAAACCTAGGCGGTGTTACAGACACCAACCTGGGGGGCCAGGGTGGCGTAGTGGCTAAGATGCTGAGCTCCTGCATGGTTAAACCATGATTCAAGTCCCAGACCCAGCAACTTGAAACTCACATCGTGCATGTGGTATGTGCCCGAAGTCCCAAGAGAAGACCCAAAGGGACTGCAGTGGGGCCATCCCCCGTGGGGGGTAGTTTTTCACTTTCTGACTCTCTGGTGAGCACACGCACACTATAGCAAAAATCTCTCAAAAGAAGCTGACCTGAGGTCAAATTCCCAGGCCAACTGACCTGAAGAGACTTCCTCTGTTCTGCCATTGAAAGAGAAGGACCACGATGCTGACCTCAGAACTGATGGAGGAGGTGCATGGGAAGCACTATGTGCCTGGTGGAGCTAAGTGGGCTCCGGTAGTGGCTCTGCTTTCAGCCTTCTCACTCTTACTGGCCTTGGGCAGGATCAGTGACACTGGGACTGGAAAACTATTTGAGAGTTGTAATCTCTGTTAGGAATTGTCTCTACTGGTTTAACCAGCCTTGGGCCAAGATCATGACCACGTACCCTCCAATACAACACCTGAGAGCCTCCATTAGGGTAGCTGTGTGGGGTTAACTGCCCTAGAATGTCCTGCCTCAGCAAAGCAAAGCACTGATACCCAAGGTTGTCCCTGGGTTCACCGTCTTACAGCTCAGCCCTGCAGAACTGGAGGCTACAGGCAGAAGGGTGAGCACAGAGCTTGGGCTGGTTCAACCATGTCAGGAGGGCCTCAAGCAACAGCTGATGACAGAAACCTGAGGATGCAAGGGAGGTGAAAGCGGAGGAAGTATGTAGAAAAGGTAGCCTGTCTCCCAAACCAAGCCCATCAGCCACAGACCTTCGGTGTTACCCTTTAGGGAGGTTGCAAAGGGATGGGAACAGGGTAGGTGCATGGCTTTTGAGTGAAATTACGGGGAGCAAAAGGCAGCAAACGCTGAAAGTGCTGTCCTGCAGGGGGACATGGGAATTTTTTTCTGTCATGTGAAGACAGACTCAAATGACCCAGGAGCCCGAGGGTCTGACCACAGCAATCATCTGGTCCCTCCATGCACACATGTGGAAACAGAGGCTCAGAATGACAAGGGCAGTGAGAACCAAGGCCACTTTGCAGATGGGTCCCTCCCACAGCAGGCCATCTTCCTCCAGAAAGGAACCCTTACAATAAGGAGGGAGGTGGGGAAGCTGTATCGACTGGGCTCTCCCTGCTCCCCAGTGCCTGGCAGCAACAGCATGAATGTGAATACGTGGTTCTGGCTGAATACTTGTCTGGATCTGCTGTGGCCTTAGGCCACGTTCCCTGCATCTGCAGCGAGGGAGCAAGACAAGCTCCAGGTCTAAGAGGCACGGATGCAGCCCTTCATGCCCAAAGCAGCCAGCCTGGGCGGTGACAAGCAAGTGACACATGGGACCAGCAGATGGTGTAATGGCTACATTGCTGGACTCCCACGTAGTTGCCCGCAGTTTAAGTCCCAGACCCGGTGGCTTAAACTCACGCCAGTCGCGTGTGTGTGCGTGCCCACCATCCCAAGAGGAGAATGGAGGAGAAGGGATTGTGGCGTGGCCATCCGCGCTGGGGGGTGATTTCTCGCTTTCTGTCTCTCTGTCTCTGTCTTTCTGGTGAACGCACACCCCCTATAGCAAAAACCTCTCCAAAACCCCCCCCACCTAAAAAGTGACACCAGCAGGGATAGCTCCTTCCATCTCTTTTATCAGCGTAGGGTGAGGTGGGGGGTCACAGTTTTCACACCAAAGCTCAAATTCCATTATTTGCAGAAGTCCGGAGTCTTCATGGTAAGGAAAAAGAGACACAAGTTGTAGGATGCTCTCTTGCACAAGTGGTTAAAAACAGACAAAGTGCCGTTCTCCTCTACACTGGTACATGGCCCCTCCTGTGCCTCCAAGTTTCCTTGTCTACCTCTGTCCACCCTGTTAGGTGGCAGCCTTGGGGAGACAAGGGATGGCAGGAAAGCCCCTTTGAGAGGCCCAGGTCCTGGAGCAGCTTCCACCCAGGCTGAGGTCTTGGGGGGCTGAGCTGTTCTCACCAGGCTCTTCTCTCTGCCCCCTTTGGGGTGTGGCCTGTGGGGCAAGTGGCCTCACGGAGTCTGAAAAGCAGTGTGTCACCTTCGCAGCTTCCGGCACCTGATGAGAGGGGAGGAAGGAACCTCTGTTCATACTGGCTGGAGCTTACCCAGCTCTTCTCGACTCTCTTCCTTGTGTTTTGTCCCCCTTCTCTCTGGACACTCCTGAGAAGCACTGGTCTGGCCATGAGATGTCAGCCAGCCTTACATGAAGGGCTAAAAAGCACCACAGACAAGAGCCAACAGAGGCTCCACAATGTCCCTACAATGTCCCCTGGCTGCTTGAAGCCCATTGGTGGAACCAATGTCTCAGCCAGGGGATCCAGGGATGGCTCAGCTTTGCAAGTCAGAACGCTGCCTCCCTCATTTCTAATCCAGGCAGATGTCACTTCTTCCAGGAGAGTCAGGCCTCTGCAAGAATGACGTCAGGTACCCCTCACCGCAGCCCTGACGTCCCCTGCCGGCACTGCTGCTCCTCTGACCCGCGTTAGAATACCAGCCCGCTGCACTGATGGTGCCAGCAGATGCTCGGTAAATATTTGCTCAACACATCGAACAGCTTCGGCTTCCTTGGCCCTTCTCCTACTGGCAGGCTCACCCTGGATCTGATCCATGACAGGACCTTGATGTGTTCCCAAACAAATACCACCCCACGAACTCCTCACCTGCAGGTGTCTGGGTTGAGCTCTAAGCCCCGCCCTTGGCAACGGAGGAAGCTGCGGCGTCGGCAGTGGCAGCGGCAGGTCCGGGGGTCAGGGCGCTGGCGGCGCTGGGTGCAGCGTGGGCAGTGGGGCCTGGGGCTGGAGTGGGATGGGTGATGTCAGCTGGGGAGGGTGCTCCGGGGACAGAGTCCCAGCCCGGAACAGAGCGGGGCTGGGGGCGGTGGTGGGGAGTGGCAGCCCTAGGAGGAGAAGCAACCATGTCTGGGGTGGGAAGATAGAGTCTTCCCAGGAGCTGGGGTCAGGGCAGAGCACACAGACTTGGGGAGCAGAGGGATAGGTAGAAGAGAGAAGGGAAGGAAGCATAGCTTCCTGACTCACTTGTACACACCCCCTTCCTACCCACATCTTACATCCTGGGCGCCAGGCTAGGGCTCTAACCCCACGGCGACAGGAATCCAGAGAGCTCACCTGTCCAGCTTCACAGCACTCTGTGCTTGTTTTGGTCTGAAAAGTAAGACAGAGACAAAGAGGAGGAGGATCAGGAAATCTAAGCATCCTATTCTCTTGTCCCAGTTTCCAGGCCTACCCCTGGCTCTACGCTTTGAGACCTGGTCCCCACTGTGGGCTACCATGCCTGACATCCCCAAGCCTAGCCTCGGGGAGCTGGGAAGTTGGGTCTGGCTGGCACCTGCATTCACATTGGCTGTGTTCTTCCAGGGACATCTCCCCCAACTGACTGCTCGGGTATCGGATCATGAGGATCTGTGCTCGGGAGAACAAGGAGAGACAGAGAAAGAGAGATGGAGAGAGAGGGAGGAAAGGGGGACATTCTATGGGCTGGAGGTAGAAAAGCTCAACCAACAGCCAGGACCCTGGTCACCAACCCACCAGCCTCCTGCACCCCAGTCTGTGGGCTGCCACCCCTGCACCCAGTGCCAGTGTCCACCCCGGCCTGCTCCCCCTGCCTGTCCCAGTACCTGCATTCGGACTTGGTGCTGCCCGGTGGGTACGCACTCCAGGCCGTCGTCAGGGCAACAGCCACCACAGCGCTGCACAGTCACGCAGCTGGGCACCAGCTGCTTGGCCACACTGCCCATGAGCTCCACAGTGAGAGGCACCACCACCTCCCGAGGCTGGCAGGTGGCACGAGCATACACATCTATCCATGACACCACTGGGGGCAGATGGTAAGGGTTAAGTCCCCACCGGGCTTCCTATAGCTATTCCCAGCAGCTGTCCTCTCCAGGCTCCTTGTCACCCCTCAGGAGCCCTCCCCCTCCCACCCTCCCAAGCTGTCTAACTCTAACCCACTGCCCAGTGTCGCTGTGTCCTCATCTGAGAAGTAGGCAGGCCAATACTTTGTATCCTACGGGGGAGCTGTGATTACACAAGATGACAGACACAGCTCTGGGATCAGGGCATGTGGTAGACTCTGAACACCGGCTAGTGCAGCTACCGTGACTATTACCTTTCTTCTGGTGGCCAGGGGCATCGGTCTGGGTGACAGAGGCCTGTGGGAGAGAAGAGACCTGGACCCAAGGTGCAATCTAGAAGACGCTAGCACTGTAGCGACCCAGGGGCTCTGCCCTTGGCACAAGGCTTCCTTTAGGCTCTGACATCTTTACAGATTGCTGTTCCTGAGGCCACCGTTCTAGCTTTACCTGTCCTTTCCTGGCCAGCTGGGACTTGCCTTGGCCTGAGACCCACCTGTCTGTGGTGTCAAGTCTCCAAGACTTGGGTTCGGGTTGGTCCTGGGGGCTGTAGGTCAGGAGCAGGGCACAGTGGGCACCGAACCAGGTCTTGCAGGCCCTGGACAGCTCCACCCCTGGAGGCACCCAGGGGACAGGGTGGGACGGGGTGGGGCGGGGGTGGGACGGGGTGGGTGGGGGGAGTGGCCCTTGGGCTGGGCTGGCGGGCCCATGGAGAGGGGCGCCTCCCCAGGGATGCCTGGTCTGTGCCCCCACAATGCCCGTGTCTGAGGCCAGACCCTGCGAATCCCCTCGGTCGAGGCCACTCGGTGCCTCCCCACTTCCGCCAACCTTGAGAGGGCACCGCGGGCGGCGAGATGTCGGGACTCACGTACCTGGGCGGGGGCCAGCTGCAGGAGAGCGGCGAGCAGCAGACGGCAGAGCAGGGGGCTCATGGGGCCCGCGGGGGCCGCG